AGCATCAGAATCAACAGACTGTCCTCTGCGCGCAGTTTGCGCAAGTCCCACAGACTGTCCTCTGCGCGCAGTTTGCGCGAGTCCCGGGGGCCCGGCCTTTTGCCGCTCTCCCCAGACTCCACCTCACAGCCCCGTCTCCCTCTGCCTGAGCCTGGGTCCCCAGGGATTAGCCCAGAACTGGGGTTCGGAGCAGTCCGGACTGAGGCTCAGCGCCACCGGAGGCCTTGTTTCTTCCGGCTAGGGTAACCCAGCATCAGAGTCAACATTCAGTCCTCTGCGCGCATTGCGCGCGACTCCGGGGGCCCTGCTTTTCGCCACTTTTCTGCCTCACAGCCCAGTCTCCTACTGCCGAAGCCTGGGTCCCCAGGGTCTGGCCCATAACTGGGGCTCAGCGCTGCCGGTTCGGGGGGCTCAGCGCTGCCAGTTCGGGGGTTCAGCCCAGGCTGGGGGTTTTATTCCCTTCCTGCTAGGGAAGGAAAGGCAGCTCTCCTCCTCTCCGGCTGCGACCTCTCCATGCGCGCGTGCGTGCGGGCGCGCAGCATGTCTCCGTACCTTAGGCTTTTTTTCAGCTCCTCTGATTTTCTTTCTGGTTTTCTCTTTCCTTCTTGTTGTAGAATTTTCAGTCAGTCGACTACCTGTAGCTCTGGGCAATGTCCACTCTACATTTTAGTTGTATTCCACTGTAATTGTTGTGTGCTGCCGCAGCTAGATGTCTACCCGAGCAGCCATCTTGGATCTGGTTTGTTTTTTATAACATTTTAATATGTCTTGAGGTCTTATGGAGCCAGTCCTCATACATTGTTCTTTATGATTGCCTTGGCTGAATTGGGAAAATTTACTTCAATATACTAAATTTACAATGGTGGTACCAAGTTTCACAAAGTTACCTGAGATATTAGTGACATGTTGCTTTAACTCTACAGATTAATTTGGGTAGGTTTGACTTTTATAAAATACTAGAGGCCTGGTGCATGAATTAGTGCATGGTGGGATCCAGTAGGCCCGCCCAGATGGGGGCCGATTGGGGCTGGGCTGGTGGTGGAGAGGGGGTGTGGGAGGTTGGCCCCCTTCCATAAAAAGCTTCCCCATCCAATCAGGATGGGAGGACAATTAGGGGCAGGTCTGGCAAGGGGGAGGAGCTATGGGAGGTTGGGGGTATCAATCAGGGCCTCCATCAAGTCAGTTGGCCGCTTCAGTGAACCTCATAGCGACTGATCATTCCTGTTGTTCTGGTTGTTCCCACTGTTCTGGTTGCTTGGCTTTATATATATGTATATATATATTGTTGTCATACCCATTAACATGCATATTGTTTATTTATTTGCATCTTTAATGTCTTCCTAAACAGATTTATAATTTCATCCATTAAGAAAGGACATATTGTATTTTTATGTTCATCTCTCTTAGTAATATACTCTTAGAAATTTTCTAAGATACAACACAGTAAAATTAAATGCATTATTATAGTTAATACTATTAATTCCCACTATTATTATTATTTTAAAAATTACTTATTTCAAAGAGGAAGTGAGAGGGAGAGATAGAAACATCAGTGATGAGAATCATTGATCGGCTGCCTCCTGCAAGTCCCAATACTGGGGATCGAGGCCACAACCTGGGCATGTGCCCTGACCGGAAATCAAACTATGACCTGCTAGTTCATAAGTTGACACTTGACCAATGAACCACACCAGCAGGTCAGTACCCACTATTATTAACTACAGTTACTGTGCTGTACATCACATCCTCATGATTTAATGATTTTATGACTGGAAGCTTGTACCATTGACCACGCTCATTCATTTTTCCCACCCCACAGGCTCTGCCTCTGGTAACCATCAATTAGTTCACTGTATCTCTGAGTTTTATTTTTATCAACATTTCTACATATAAGTGAGATCGTACTCTACTTGTCTTTCTCTTTCTGATTTACTTAACTTTATACAATGCCCTTATGATCTAACCATGTTGACCCAAATGGCATGAATTCCTTCTTTTTATAGCACAATACTATTTCACTGTATATATAGCACACTAACTTTATCCATTCATTGGTTGATCAACATTTAGGTTGCTTCCACATCTTGGCTATTGTAAATGCTGCTGCAAGGAACATAGGGATGCATGTGTTTTTTCAAGTTAGTGTTTTTATTTCCTCTAAATAAATACCCAGAAGTGGTGTTACTGGGTCATATGTCAGCTTTATAATTTTTAAGGAACTGCCTACTGATTTACATAGTGGCTGCCCCAATTTACATTCCCAACAACATTGCAACAGGGTTCCCCTTTCTGAACATTCTTGCCAACACTTATTATTTCTTGTCTGTTTTATAACCCAGCTTGAGATTTTCTAGACTGCTCAGTGATGAGACTTGTCGGGACACAACCATGGAAATCATGCTTTTCTTTAGTCATCTGCTTGCACTGGAAAAATCTTCATTGCAATACGTGAAGAGTCCAGATAGGGGTGTGTGTGTGTGTGTGTGTGTGTGTGTGTGTGTGTGTGTGTGTGTAGCTGGTTCCCTACTTTTCACCTGCACCGGAGGCAGGGGCAGACCCAGGTTTGTGGAGCCTGATATTGATACAGATGTCAAGATCATTGCTTCAAAAACATACAAAATCTGCTACACATGGATTTTTCTTTTTTTTTCTTGTTCTTTTAAAATATATTTTATTGATTTTTTACAGAGAGAAAGAGAGAGGCATAGAGAGTTAGAAACATCAATGAGAGAGAATCATCGATCAGCTGCCTCTTGCACACCCCCTACTGGGAATGTGCCCGCAACCAAGGTACGTGCCCTTGACTGGAATCGAACCTAGGACCTTTCAGTCCGCAGGCCATTGCTCTATCCACTGAGCCAAACCGGTTTTGGCACAAATGGATTTTTCTAACATGAGAAAACATATCACATTAAGTCACAAAGGTGAAAATGTTTAAGCCCAAATTGTAAGACAAATTTTAAAAGTACAGACGATTTTTTTTAGTCATGTGACATACCCATCTGGCACCCCAGCATAAGGCATGTTCCCTACAATTTTTTAAAACCTCATTTGAGGATATGTTTGTTGATTTTGGAGATCGAGGAAGAGTAGAGAGAGAGAGAGAGAAAGAGAGAGAGAGAGAGAGAGAGAGAGAGAGAGAGAGAGAGAGAGAGAGAGAGAGAGATGTGTGTGTGTGAGAGAGTAACATTAAACCATTGCCTCCTACATGCCCATACAGGGGATGGGACCTGCAACCTTGGTATGTGCCATGACTGGTTATTGAATCCACACTTTCTGGTGTAAGGGATGACACTCCATCCAACTGAGCCACCTGGCCAGGCTCTACTGTTTTTACCTGATACTTTTTGATTGCCTCTTCATAGGAGATAAATTCTGTCACATAGTAATACATGTTAATATTATATTAAGTATTAATTACTAGAATCTTATATTTGTACTAGAGGCCTGGTGCACAAAATCGTGCCTGGGTAGGGTCCCTATTCCTGGCAGGTCATCAGGGATGATCTGTGGGGTGAGTGGCAGGGCAACCTGGGGTACCTATGCTGGCATCTCCTTTGGCTGGTCTGGCGTCATCCCCTCATCAGTCACGCCCATCCACATCGCCTCCTGCCGCTGCTGCTGGTTGTCTTCCTCTTTGGGCAACCAGCGGGGCAAACGGGGCAAACGGGGCACCCCTGCTGGCACCCACCTTGGCTGACCTTGGGCCTGGGGGCTGAGGCTAGCCCCTGCGTTGGGTGTCTGTCCCTGGTGGTTAGTGTGCATTATAGCAATGGTTGTTTCACCATTCTGCCGGTTTGCATCATAGGCTTTTATTATATAGGTGCATGAAATTCATGCATGTGTAGGGTCCCTAGGCCTGCCAGGTGATCAGGGCGAATGGGGTCTTTCTTTGTTCAATGCCACTCCCTGGAAGTAAGCACACATCATAGTGAGTGGTTGAACTCCCAGATTGAACTCCCAAGGGACATTTTGTATATTAGCCTTATATATATATATATATATATATATATATATATATATATATATATATATATATATATATATATATTATATAGAAAATAAAGAGAGAATTCAGTGTCCCTTCTTCACGGATGATTGACCTTTATTTTTCTCGAGTGCAAGTAAAGAAACGTTTCTTTCAATCACACTTGAGAATGAAGTTTCACATCTCTGTCATATTTGGGGAAACATTGATCAAGTTTCTTCCTTTCATAAAAGAGCAGTGAGATTGCAGGTTATGGCCACCCATCACTCAAGCCCCTGCTGGGCTTTGAAAAGGGGTGGAGCATGAGAGGGGCCTGAAGGTGAAGCTTCCTGAGCTTTAAGTTGGCGAATTTACTGCTGTGCTGAGGCCCTACATCGAGGTCCCTCCAAATAGGGCGAGATCTCCCTTCACACATCACCTTCTGAGGGAGCCTGTGAGCTGTCACTGTCCCAGGTCCCTCAGATCCTGAAAGACACACACATGTGTTTCTCATGTCCCCAGAAAGCTCTCAGAACAAAGGGCTTGAATGTTCAAGTTTTTGCTGGGGTTCTACCCCCAACTGGAGTTGAATCTAAATTCCTTTTTCTGTTGCCATTACTTGATTTGTCTAAAGAAAATTTAGAGTTATCCAGACTGATCAGTTGTTTCCGCTCAAGGGTGGGTCTCCCCCACGTCCAGCTCTGACCCCAGTGGCCCTCTGGGTGACCTCCCTCTCCACTTACACACCATCTGTAAGGGGATTACTCTCAGATTCACATCTGGGCAGGCATCTCAACCTCTGGGGGCCTCAGAATATCCACAGGCAGGGTTGGGTGGGTGGGGGGGGGCAATGGGGACAGGCTGTTTTCTCAGGCACCACAGCCTCCACATCCTGTGGAGGCCAAGTTCCCCTTCCAGTCTGGCTGCAGTCTTTCTCTCAGGGCTTCCTGTTGGGGTGTCCTAAGCACCACCCCAGGGCTGGGCTTTCCCCTCGCTGACACAGGGACCTGGACCTGCCCGGCCAGAGTCAAACATGGTGCCCCTGCTGCTGGTGCTGCTCCTACCCCTGTGCCGGGGTGAGTCGGCTGAGAGAGGTGGGTTTGGCCAGCGAGGGATCAGCAGGAGCTGCCACTGAACCTCTGTCTCCCTCCACCAGGGTCCCTGCAGCAGCAAGCAGGCTTTGAGCTCCAAATGCAGGAATCGGTGACAGTGTTTGAGGGTCTGTGTGTCCACGTGCCCTGCTCCTTCTCCTACCCGTGGAGTTCTTGGTCTTCCTCTGGCAACCTCTACACCTACTGGTACCGGGATGGAAACAACCAAAAACGTGGTGCTCCTGTGGCCTCAAGCAACCCAAGTAAACCAGGGAAGGTAGAGACCAGATACCGATTCCTCCTCGCAGACCCCAAGACCAACAACTGCTCCCTGCAAATCAAAGACGCCAGGAGGGAATTAGAATCCAAGATGGCTGCTCAGGTAGGCACCTTGCCGAGCTGCACACAACAATTTCAACAAAATACAACTAAAATATAAAATGGACATCACCCAGAACTACAGGAAAGTTGACTGACTGGAAATTCTACAACGAGAAGCAAGGAGAAAACCAGAAGGAAGCGCGGAGGAGCTGGGAAAGCCTAAGGTACGGAGACACGCGGTGCGCGGAGAGGACGGAGCCGGAGAGGAGGGAGGCGGAGTGCCTGGCGGGCGTTCCCTGGCGGGAAGGAGATAAACGCTCCGACTGTGCTGGCCCCCATTCTGACTGCTCTGAACCCCAGGCCTAGGCCAGACCCCGGGCACCCAGGCTCACACAGAGGGAGCCGGGCTGAAAGGCTGAACCCCGGGGAAGAGGCGAAAGGAGGTCCCAGCGGCGGCGGCGGCGCGGCGCAGAGAAGGGCCGGCCGGCTGTGCCGCGGGATTGCCTGGGGGGAAGGAGACAGGGGCTCCAGACTGCTCTGAACGCCACCTCCAACTCCACTTCCAACTGAACTGAACCCCAGTTTCGGGACCATTGGGGGAGAGACTAGACTGTTTGGTAGCAGGCGAAAATCAAGGGCGCCTTTCTCTCAGAGGCGCTTACAACAAGTACTGAAGGACCCTGAGTCTCAGGAGTCGCATAGGGCGGGGCTGACGGAAGCCAAAGCTGTAGGCTCCACCCTGAAACCCCGCCCCATCAGGAAAGCTGCCTGCGAAAATGCCTAAACCAAATAGATCACAAACGAAAGAAATGGAGGACAAAAAGCGACTGGATATAGAGTTCAAAACCACACTTATAAGGTTTTTCAAGAGTTTCCTAGAAAAGGCCGATAAAATAAATGAGACTTATGAGGATATGAAAAGGGATCAACAAGAAATAAAGAATACATTGTCTGAAATAAAAACTATTATACAGAGTCCTAAAAACAGAATAGAAGATCGCAAGAATCAAGTCAAAGATTTGGAACATAAAGAGCCAGAAGATACTCCTCCGCAGAAGCTAGAAGGCAAGAGAATCCAGAAAATTGAGAATCAAGTCAAAGATTTGGAACATAAAGAGCCAGAAGATACTCCTCCGCAGAAGCTAGAAGGCAAGAGAATCCAGAAAATTGAGAATCAAGTCAAAGATTTGGAACATAAAGAGCCAGAAGATACTCCTCTGCAGTCGCTAGAAGGCAAGAGAATCCAGAAAATTGAAGATGATGTAAGAAACCTCTGGGACAACTTCAAACGATCCAACATCAGAATTATGGGGGTCCCAGAAGATGAGAGAGAGCAAGATATCGAAAACATATTGAAAGAAATAGTGACAGAAAACTTCCCCCACCTGGGGAAAGAATTGGACTTACAAGTCCAGGAAGCACACAGAACTCCAAATAAAAGGAATCCAAAGAGGACCACACCAAGACAAATCATAATTAAGATTCCAAGAGCAAAAGACAAAGAGAGAATATTAAAAGCAGCAAGAGCTAGGCAGATAGTTACCTATAAAGGAGCACCTATACGATTGTCAGCTGATTTCTCAACAGAAACCATGCAGGCCAGACGGGAATGGCAAGAAATATTCAAGGTGATGAATAGTAAGAACCTACAGCCAAAGATAATCTATCCAGCAAAGCTATCACTCAAATTCGAAGGTCAGATAAAGAGCTTCACTAATAAAAAAAAGCTAAAGGAGTTCATCACCACCAAACCAGAATTATATGAATTGCTGAAGGGGGTTCTTTCAGAAGAGAAAGTAAATAAAGATAAAAATTATGAACAACAAATACGTAACTATCAACAAGTGAATCTAAAAACCAAGGAAATTAAAAAAAAAATCTGATGAACAATATTAACTGTTGAATATAATAAAATCAGAGGTATGGAAGGGGAGTGAACTGATGATTCTTGGGGAAAAGGGGAGAAGGGGATGTGGGAAGAGACTGAACATAAACTGTGCACCTATGGATGAGGACAATGGGGGGTGGGGAAAGGGCAGAGGGTGGGGTGGGAAGGGACATTTGTATTAATATGAACAATAAAAATTAAGAAAAAAAAATAAAAAATAAAAAGCCAAAAAAAAAAAAAAAAAAAAAAAAGACGCCAGGAGGAGTGACACAGGACGCTACTACTTCCGAATGGAGAGAGGAGACAAGGCAAAATTCAGTTATACAGCGAAGATGCTGAATTTGCAGGTGACATGTAAGGCAGCAGCCCAGGAGAGGACTCAGGGACATGAGACCCCATCTTAGAGCAGGAACAGGACACTGGGACCCTCCCTGATCCAGGCCTTAGGCCTTGGGTGGTTGGAGGATCACCTCAGGGGCCCTGAGGGATGAGTCCCACTCAGGATCACACTTTGGGTCTCTACTTGCTGAGGCCCAGGCACCTCCCTCTCTTTTCTTCCTCCCTGACAGACAAACCCCACATCCACATTCCGGAGCTGCTGGAGTCTGGACGCCCCACACAACTGACCTGCAGTCTGCCAGGGGACTGCAAAGGGGGACAACGTTTCATCTTCTCCTGGGCGGGAGCCGCTGTGGACTCGCTGAACCCCCAGAACCTCAGCTCCTCGGTGCTCACCTTCACCCCGAGTCCCCGGGACCATGGCACCAACCTCACCTGTCAGGTGAAACAGGAATGGCGTCCGTTGATCTCACAGAGAGCCATCCGTCTCAATGTCTCCTGTGAGTGCTAGAGGGATGGCTGGGTCCATGGGGACAGTAGGAGCAACATGTGTGTGTGTATCTGTGTGTGTGTGTGTGTGTGTGTGTGTGTGTGTGTGTGTAGAGGAGGCTGAGGTAACCTGAGAACACTCATGCATGGATCTGCGTGTAGTGGGCCAGGAAGAGAGAACCCCTCTTTACTGCTCCCCCCTTCCCACCTTGTGATTGGGGTGACTTTCATCTGAAGTGGGGCCCTGTCTTTCTCTCCCAGATGCTCCTCAGAACCTCACCATAGATGTCTCCTTTAGAAATGACACAGGTAGGCAAGAACCCCTCCTCTCTGGGCTGGGACCTGCCCGGTGCCCTGGTGGGGCAGAGGGGGGAGCAGGAGTTTGATGGAATCAGAATGGGAAGGGCAAGGATAAAAGTCTTTACCTCTGTCCCTTACCTCTGGTGGGTGGGTGCCTAACCTGTGTTCCACACACCTCTCTATCTCTCACTTTCCCGTCCTCCCCCTCCCCATTTCATTCTCAAAAGCCCTCAAGATTCTGCAAACCACATCCCTTCCCATCTTGGAGGGAGAGGCACTGAGGCTGCTCTGTGTGGCTGACAGCAACCCCCCTGCCAAGCTGAGCTGGTTTCAGGGATTCTCAGGCCTGAACACCACCCCCATCTCCACCACCGGGATCCTGGAGCTGCCTCGCGTGGGGCCTGCACAGGAAGGAGAGTTCACCTGCCAAGCTCAGCACCCGCTGGGCTCCCAAAGTGTCTCTCTCAGCCTCTCCGTGGTCTGTGAGTAGAGAATGGACTGAGACATGGTTGGGGCAGGAGGAGGGCGTACCTGGGAGTAGGTCACCTCGGTGCCAGGACATGTTAGTGGCACTGCTGACCCTTTTCCTCTCTCCCCACAGACCCCCCACAGCTATTGGGACCCTCCTGCTCCTGGGAAGGCCAGGCTCTGCACTGCAGCTGCTCCGCCAGGGCCCTGCCCGCCCCCTCCCTGCGTTGGAGGTTGGGGGCGGGGCTGTTGGAGGGGAACCATGGCAATGGCTCCCACGTGGTCACCTCCCGCTCAGTGGGTCCTGGACCAACAGCTTCCTGAGCCTACTTGAGGGCCTCAGTGAGGTACTCAGATTCAGCTGCGAGGCCTGGAATGAGCACGGGGCCCAGAGCGCCTCAGTCCTGCTGCTGCCAGGTCAGCGCCTGCTGGGGGCAGAAGCCACCAGGGAGAAGGGAGTGGGTCAGAGAGAAGGTGGAACTTGTGGAGGAGGGCTGGGCGGGCACAGGGGTGATTGCTAGGACAGGGCCAGAATCTCTTCCCTCAACAGAACCCTCAGTAGGTTCTGCAAGGATGTGGGAAGAGTAGACACTGAGTCCTATGAATGGGTGTCTTACACCCCTCTCTTCTGCAGGGAAGGCGGTGCTCCAGGCGGGAGTAGTTCCTGCAGCTCTTGGAGGGGCTGGTGCCATGGCTCTGCTGTCCCTATGTTTGTGTCTCATCTGCTTTTGCATGTAAGCCTCTGTGGCTGGGAGGGGCAGAGCTGAGTACATCCAGAGGGGACTTTTTTTAGGAGGGTCCAAGGGGGTAGCAGCTTTATTGAGGTAAAATTTTCATATATTTAAAGTGTACAATTCAATGGCTTTTTGTTCATTCACCCAGCTGTGCACCCATCACCACAGTAAATTTTGAAATGTTTCATTCGCTTGAAATAATAAAAAAATAACCACCAAGGAAATGAAACCCACATCCTGTAATTGTTAGTTTGTTTCTATCCTCACCCAGCCCTAGACAGCCACTGACCTGCTTCCTGTCCAGTCTGGACATCATATATAATAAAAGGCCAGGGACCATAAGTGTAATGGCCGGAATGACTGCTCGACCAGTTCCCATGAGGTGCATTGACCACCTCTCAGTTGCTGCTCCCCCTTTACCCTCTCCCCCAAGCCTGTGAACAGTTTTTGGCAGGGTGCTCCCCACAGAGGGCAGGGCAGCAAGCAATGGTGGACATGTGGGTGAGCATTGCAAGTGGTGGTGAGAGATACCTGCACACATTTCATGCACTGGGCCTCTAGTTTCATATAAATGAAATCATACAACACGTGGTCCTTTGTAACTGACTTTCATTTATCACAATATTTTTTAAAAATTATTATAACTATGGGCCCGTGCACTGGGGGAGGGGGTCCCTCAGCCTGGCCTGTCTCCTCTCACAGTCTGAGAGCCCTCAGGGAAGCAATCTGACTTCCCTCTGCTGGAGGCACCTGGGCTGATCAGGGGAAAGTGCTGCCCACATCACCCCGCTACTGCTGTCACTGCTGGCCACCATGGCTGAGAGGCCTGAGCTCGGGCCTCTCACCAGCCAGGCCTCATGGATCTCAGATCCCCAGCCTCACAACTGCTGGAGCTCATGGCTGCCTGAGCACTGGGCCTCACAGCCACCATGCTGCTGTGGCTTTGTCTGGAAGATGTCTGGTCTAATTATCATATTATACTCTTACTAGCATAGATGATGATTTTGTTAATCCTCATCCATGAATACTTTTCCATTGAGTTTTAGAGAGAGTGGAAAGGGAGCAGGAGGGGGGGGGGGACACACACACAGAGAGAAACATCGATGTCAGAGACACATTCAATGGTTCCCTCCCTATGAGCCTTGATCAGAGATGAGAATTGAACCTGCAACCCAGGTCCATGTCTTTGACCAATAATTGATCCTGTGAACTTCAGTGTGCAGGCCAATGCTCTAACCACTGAGAAACCACCCTGGGACATGACAATTTCAAGGTTCATGTGTTGGCACTGAATTGCTTTTTATTTATAAATAATATTCCATGGTATGGACGGGGCAAATTTTATCTGTCTGTTCCTTCATTGACGGACATTTGAGTTGCCTGGACTTTTTGGCTACCATGAATTACACTGACGATGGCTCGAGCACAAGTCTGTGCTTGTTAGAGGGGCCTTGGTGCTGAACATTCAGTCTTGGCCAAGCCCCTGGATAACTCAGGAGGTTGAGGTCCTCACCTGCCTGTCAGGAGTGTCTCTGAGTCTGGCCTCAGGGTCTGGAAGCCTCCATTGTCCATCAGGGAATGGGGACAGGTGCCCACGGGTGCCTGAGCCATTCTAGCTGCTGACTTCTTCCCTTAGAGTGAAAGCCCGCATGAGGCAAGCAGCCGGAAGACCAAAGGTCACGAATGATGAAGACCCTGTCATGGGCCCAGTCACTTGGGTGAGTGAAGTGGGTGTGTTCTCATGGCGTGTAGGGGGGGCCTGGGCATTCCCATTTCAAGAGTCCACACTGAGCTTCTCTGCAGTTCCCCACACCCGTTCCTCTGTGGTTGGCTGGACAGGCAGCTGCAAGTTGACTTCCCCTTTATTTCCCGGAATCCATGATCAGCCTCTTGCCTCAGCCACACTGACCACTGAGCCCACCTCACCTCTCTGATAGGCCCAGGCTGCCAGAACCACCTCCCCAAAACGTGTACTTTCTACCCATTGTGGGCATGTTCCTTCACCTCCCTTTACAGCAGTTTCTCTATGTGTAAGTGAGGATAACGAGAGTATCATGCTTACTGGGTTTCTGAGAGAATGAAATATGATTAGTAGGCCTTTGATATGGTCTAACCAACATCTGCAATACTCTAATAAAATGAAAAAGAAAAACAGGCTTGAGTTGGAAGGAGTATGGTCTTCGAGATGCAAGTCCACCATTCTCCTAGGTTGCAGTGCCTGAATAAGTTTCTTTCATTTCACACCCAAAGAACGAATCCCCCCAAAAAACAAACAAAAGAAAACTTTTTTTAATAAATGAGCAAATAGTCGAGCTATGAGAAGTGTATGTGCCATAAGAAGATGAATGACCAAACTGTTCCATCAGCCCAACTTTCTTTGGGACCATGTCTGCCTCATTCCTCTCTGATGCCCTTCTCTCCCCTTCACTCAGGGTTCTAAGAAAACTCTGCAGCCAGATGGGCCCCCAGACCAAGTGTCACCTGCAGAGAAGGGCCCTCTGTCAGGGGAGCAACAGGAGCTCCACTATGCCAACCTCACCTTTGAAGGCATGAAGCCACGGGGGCCCCAGGACCAGGAGGCCACCAGCACCCACGAGTACTCAGAGATCAAGCACACAGGCAAATGAGGAATCCCTCTGAGCTCGGTCCTGGCCAGAGGCACCACAGCCACTTGAGAAGGGGAAAGAAGTCCAGGACTCATGGCTGAAGCATGAATAGACCTGTGGCCTGATTAACATGAACGAGTGGATGAGCATCACCAGGCAGAGCATAAGGAAGACTGGTGATGGGCCAGCTCTCTCCCATTCACCTGCACCTGTGCTTCAGGTGAGCTGCTCCGTGACACAGTCTCTCACCCTCACCCTCCCTCCAGAATGTCACTTCCTGGATCTTCGCACATTGTCTAAGGTGGTCTGGGTTTGCTAACAAATCCCATTTTCTCATAGTTCTCTGGGTGGCTGTCTCCCGGATTAAACCCCGACTGATGAGCAATGACAAATTACACAGACTGCAATGTAGACCCTGGGTAGTCTCCTCCTCCTCCTCCAGGTGTATTTCCTGTGGCCTGTAGCAGGTGGGTCACTACAATCCCATCAAGGACTGAGGGAATTCAAAACCAGGCTTCTGGCCCTATTGCAGCTCATCTATTTCTTAGTCTTAACCACAAGATGATGATGTTTATGGGGGCGCCTCCACCTTGGCAAGATCTCTTTTTGGGCCCCATGAGATTCTTTCTTTCTTCTTCCACCTTTTTATTGATTTCAGAGAGGAAGGGAGAGGGAGAGAGAGATAGAAACATCAATGATGAGAGATAATCATTGGTCCTATGCCTCCTTCGTGTCCCCTACCAGAGACTGAGATTGTAACCGGGTATATGCCCTTGACGTGAATCAAACCCAGGACCCTTCAGTCCCCAATCCCATGCTCTATCTGCTGAGCCAAAGTGGCTATGCCTCCATGAGATTCTTGAATGTTCTACCTAGGTTCTCTGTGACTGCCCAAAGTCAGCAGTCTATTTGAATAAAAAAGTGGCTCCAAATACTTGTCTCATTGCCGTTGACTTCTTGCTTCTTCCATCTTCACTGTGTGAATTTTCTTTTTGTTGACTCGAAACAATTAAAAAAATTTATCCATCTTTCCAAGTCTTCCCACTCCCCAACTTGGCCTACCTTGCTCTGTTCTTAAGGACAACTATCTCATGCTGTGGTCCACTAAGGCCACAGAATCATTTCCACACTCTGAATATTTAAACTTTATGTAGAATAAGTTAACATTTAGAATTTATTTGCGTGACCTACCAGCTCCAAATACAATTTCTCAACACAACTTATGATACTTCTTTTTCACTTTAGCTGAAAACGATGGGTGGTGGGAACCAGAAAGGTGGGAGTGCTGTCCTGGCCCACTCCGCACCTACATGCAGATCCCACCACCCAACATGCATGAATGTTCTCAGGTTAGCTCAGCCTCCTGCGCGCGCGTGCGCGCGCGCGCGCACACACACACACACACACACACACACACACACCACCCACGCACCAAGATGGGCATAACAAATTCCTTACATTCAATTCCCAGTGCTGAAATACATAGTGGGGCTTTTGTTGTTTCTTGCTGGCCTTAACTGATGAAATCTCAGTAAGTAAAACAATGAGGACTGTGGGATTTCAAATGCCTTCATGATAAAACTCACAGCCCACTACACAGAATTTCTCTAATGAGATAGAGGGTGTCTTTAGAAAATACCACACCTAATGCAGTAGCCTTGGATCCTATAAATGCAATAAGAATATAACTTTGAAAATTGAAAAGAAAACAAAGTTGTTTTTACATAAATTATTTCATACATAGAAATATCCCCAAGTATATATGCATATATTTGGGCACTTAATAAGAGAGTTAGCGAGGTTGCTAGAGACAAAATCAAATTAGAAAAAAAAAAAGTCAAATGCATTCCTATGTCACAGCAATAAACAAAAATTAGGATGTTGTAAAAGATGCCATTGACAATAGCGTCAATCATTATTAGATACCTGGAATATATCTTTGTCATCAACTTGTTTAAGAAAATAGAGGCTAAAATAGGGACTCTCACCGACAAACTGGAACACATAAGAAAAGAACCAGGCAGAGTGGAATGACTAACCCTCCTGATGTGAACAACGAACAAACCAGATATAACATGGCTGACAATTGGGTCCGCCTCGCTCCAGGCGTAGCTCTTCCTCCCAATCACCTACCGTAATGACCAACACCAACACCAACAACAATCCCCACACCAGCCTCCCCCCCCCCCCCCCGCCTGTGTGTCCCCAGAGGCAACAGCTTCCCCCCAGGACTCTCTGTGTGCTTCCCCTTTGGACTCCCACGCTGGGGGCTGGACATCTTGACTTTTCACGTTTGCATAAATAAATGCAGACTTCAGCAGATCCTAAGGCACTGTCATCAAGTGACTCACTGCATTTCTCTGTTCCTCAATTTCCCACTCTGTACAGAGATCATGCATCCTACTCGGAGCTGGTTGTGAGCGCTGAAGAAGGTAACGCATGGAAATGAACCAACACAGGTCAGGTGGCGAGTGCTCAGGGCTTACTGGTCTCTCTCTCTCTCTCTTTTTAAAATTTTTATTTTTAAACAGGACCTGCTGCAAGTTCTACTGCAGCCGGAGGTGACCAGGCACAGTGGAGAGGGGGGAAAGCTTGCTGGAGTCATTTTCCATCCCAGAATTCTTTAGAGCCTCCCTAGGGAAAGACCAGCCTTTCGACCTGGAGTTCTGCTCACGGTACAGCATCTTATCGCCTCTCTGGGTCGTCTGGCCTCACTTTTACCTGTTCATTCTTCAGCACCTCCTGACCACCAGGTCCTTCCTTGTCTCACTTAAAGGTCCCACAGGAATCTTTCCAACAGCCCGTGGGCCGTAACCAAAGCTGACCAGGTATCTCATCACCAAAAAGGACTTAGGGAAGAAAAAAAGATTGCAATGCCTTCCTCACAATTATGGTGATCCACTTGCAGGTACAGAACTCAGAAGCAGCAGGGGAAGCGGAAGTTAAGGGGCTGGGCTAAAAGGACCATAGAGCTCTGCTGTAACCATAAAGTGTTTCCTGTAGGGCCCTCAGCTCTACAGGTCCTCCCTATTCCTGTATGGGTGGCACATTTGGACAAGCCAGAGAGCTGACCCTGACTCTCTCCTTCACACCCTCTTCCTGATTCCCTGGCTTTAGACAATACATCGCAGGCACCTTCCCCTGACAGTTATCTTCTCACTCAGCCTTTCCTCATGGCTTTTGTTCTTTCAATCTTCCATGAAAGTCTTTGCAATATGAGGTCATTCGGCTGGAGAGCATGCGTCCTTGCTTTCATTTGGGGAACACCATTGTGTCCTTCAAACTTGAGTTCTTGGACGGACGTGGGTTGAGAGGGTGGACTGAAGAAAGAGCTCACACAACATAAGGGCCAAAAATTCAGTGCTCCAGCATGGGTGCCTAAGAATAAGTTCTTTTGATCCTAAGTGCTTGACACTACGCTATGGATGTCCCAGGCTCCCATGTCAAAGGCATCCATCCGGATGAAGAGCCAGGCTGTCCCGCCCATGTAGTTCACTTTTAGAAAGTCCTGGGTGACCTACGTAATTGACTGCTTGTAGGAGCCCGCTTTCCCCCCGCCCCCCGAACTTTAATTCCTGCTCTTTTGCTTTAAATTCACCAATAGAGAACCTGCAAAATCTTGAGCAATGTGCTCTCCTCCCCGAGAGAGGCTAGGTCCTCTCTGTTCCTCTACCTGTGACTTCCTGAGTGGCTCTTGGTATAAGGTGACTAGATGTCCCACTTTTGGCGGGACAGTCCCGATTTTTACTCATTTGTCCCACGTCACTCGGTGTTTTTAAAAAAGTCCCGATATTTGGAAAGAATAAAAGTGGGACTTTTTAAAAACAGTGCAGGACGTGGGACAAATTGGTAAAAATTGGGACTGTCCGGGCAAAAGAGGGACATCTGGTCACCTTATTATGTTATGGGTCCTCCAGGACTTGTAAGTAAAGTTGTCACCCTTCTTCAGAGAAGATATGTCCCAAGATCCCCAGTGGATGTTTTATTTTTTATTTATTTTTTTAAAATATATTTTATTGATTTTACACAGAGAGGAATTGAGAGGGACAGAGAGTTAGAAACGTCGATGAGAGAGAAACATCGATCCGCCGCCTCTTGCACACCCCCCACAGGGGATGTGCCCGCAACCAAGGTACATGCCCTTGACCGGAATTGAACCCGGGACCCTTCAGTCCGCAGGCCGACGCTCTATTCACTGAGCCAAACCGGTCCCGGCCCCAGTGGATGTTTTAAACCACAGATAGTATCAAACCTTATATATAGTACTAGAGGCCTGGTGCTCAAATTCATGCATGGGTGGGGTCTGGCCAGCCTGCCACAATTGGGACCGATTTGGCTGGGCTGGTTGGGTGAAGGGGCTGAAGGTGGTTGGCTGGCCAGCCCCACCCCCTGGTCAAACTCCTGGTAGAGGGGAAATTTGCATATTAGCCTTTTATTCTACAGGATATTTTTTCCCTGTAGAAACACATGATATAATTTTTTAAAAATATATTTTATTGATTTTTTTACAAAGAGGAAGAGAGAGGGATAGAGAGTTAGAAACATCAATGAGAGAGAATCATCCATCAGCTGCCTCTTACACACGCCCTACTGGGGATGTGCCCACAACCAAGGTACATGCCCTTGATCGGAATCAAACTTGGGACCATTCAGTCCGCAGGCCGATGCTCTATCCACTGAGCCAAACCGGTTTCGGCCAAACACATGATATAATTTGATGTATAAATTAGAGAAGAGCAATAATAATGAATGATATAATAGAAGAATTATAACATATATACTATTCTGAAGGTTATGTATATGTCAAAATATCTCAAAATATCTCCTCTCTCAAAATATCTCCTGGGACTGTACTCACCTCCTTCCTGCGCTGATGTGAGATGACACAGAATGTCTCCAGGATGGGATGAAGGCGGTGAATGACATAGGCTTTGTGATGTGGCCTTTAGTTACTCCAGGGTGACTTTAACACAAGCACCATGGCACCAGGACAGTTGTTCTGATAACCGAGATGGCTACTA